CCCAGGAATCCCCCCAGGTCCGCCTACGTGCCTTTCAGACTAAGTCCCAACAAAAACTCTCAGCACTACGCGATTTTATGTTCTGAGTGTCGGTGTTGGGTGAGCTAAAATTCACATAAACCGTCAGGTGGTTATGAAGGATTACAACGTAGAGCTTAGGCGAGAAAGGGAGGTTGGAGAGAATTTGATAAATAAGGTATTGACATTAAGAAAGAGTTGACAAAGCAGTAACGATGGCAGAGATGAACTATTTGCTGGTAATACCCGATGCGGGAAAAGGCATGGCGGGGATGAACGTGGCTTGCACCAAACACCCAAACGATAAATGAAATTCGCATTTCTATCGATGTTTGGGGTATTCCCACGGATTCGTTACTACTGCTCTCTTTCAATACAACCTCCACATACATTTAAGTTAAAATATACGCCACCCCAGATACTAAAAAAAGAAGGGTGCTGCACGCGTAAATTTCAATAGGCACCGGGAAGTCCATGGCGAGAGCAAAGCTTATGGTGTTATGCAGATAAGCATAGAGCAAAGCTGACAAGCCGATTGTAGCATCCAGGTTGACTTTGGATGACGAGGTGCCAAAGGCGCATTAAATACAGGAAGCATGAAAAGAATGAGGAAAGGAGGTAAGAATGAGATAAGACGTTTCGATCCATTAAGTCATATACGCCTTAAAACTAGGACAGGATCTCGTCAGTATGACGCACGCAGTGTTTAATGGAAAAGGAAAAAAACAGAAATACAGAAAGACGCGAAGCTGACAAATTACATCATTAGCACCGATCTCAAGAGGTCCTGTCATGTCCTATCGGCAAATTTGGCCTCAAGTCTTCTCCCTTCGACTCTAACAACTCAAATTTTCCAAAAACAAACTGTAACTAAGGCATTCCCGCTCAGAATCATAATTCAGGCCATCCCAATTTAAGATGCAACCTAATGAAATAAATGTCTGTTTCCGGAGGCGCAGCATAATAAGGAAAGCACAAGAAATTAATAAACTTACGATATGCTGGAACCAATCCGACTCTTTTGGCTGTTGTGACGACATCAATGACCGCGCAATTAGCTTCGACGATGAAATCTGAGGACTTTGAGGATGGCCAGGCGATGAAAGAGTAGCAGCTGGCGGACCATCGGAATTCGGAAATGTATCAACCAGCAGCGGCTCCGCGTGACTGCTGTCCAACATGTCTTGCTGCCAAAAACCTGGGGAGTATATCACTTTCGTCTGATTTTATAGACACGAAATGGCACTGAAGTAGCGCTAGCCACTCCGTTGTAGCCCAAATGTGGTACATTCTTCCACTTGTCCTCTTTCCAACCACCCCCTCCACCCTCCCAAGGGCAGGTAGTTGCATTTCTAGTCCCCTTCTCCCTCCTTTCTTTACTCTTTCTAGCTTTTCACTTCCAGCCATCTCCACTGTCTATCCAGCTTTCGACTTAAACGGTTCTTCCTAATAATTAAACATAATGGTTTTCTATATGTTTCAACTCCCCTGCTCTCCTTTCTTTCACTTTGTTCTTTCACGTTTTAGCTTCTCTTTTCTCCTTCCTTCCTCACTTTGTTTACCTCTTCACTTATATCTATTTCTTCCTGTCACCTGCCTCGCAAATTAGACACACGACCATTCAAAACATGGCTGGTAGGAGGCTGTACTGATGATTCCCATTCCTACTGTTCGGTCTGTATATATAGCTAAGGGATGAAACACAGACTACGTCATAAAATATTCTCAAACATATGACATTCAAGTGAAATTCTTCTATTCTTTTATTTCCTGCCCTAATTTCTCTTTTCTGGTGACTTTGCGCTGTTGAACGAATGCGTTGATCCAATGTCGTTGATGTGCCGAAAAAATCAGCATTGAAATATACAAGCAACAGCCACGCTGTGAGTGCAAAACACATCAGCATCAAGGGATATGTTTATACAAATATAAAAGAACAAAAAAATATTGAACAACAACAATTCGTTTCGCACGCAGGCTGAAACGCTAAGCGTGAACAAAGCTCAAAAATGACATAAAAAGCATGAAAATTCTTCGAATTAGTGAAATTAGTGAAATTTTCGCAATCGTTGAGATGATAATTGCAATCTTTCCCATCCGCTGATTTCGATTTCAAAAACAGTTAAAAAAGGTAATTTTATTATTAGAAAAATCATCCTCTGAACTGTGGGCGCGGGACTCCGCCCGGGCCACGCTGACTACCACGTGGAGCATTTGCACGCCCTCGAAAAGCCGTTCCTCGCCCTGAAATGAAATAATGAATACAGTAACAGGATCAGCTGATACTCAGATCGCGTTGAAGCGCCATGTGGTAAAATCGGATTCATGATCATTGGAACAGTACATCTAACGGTTCAAAGATTCAAAACAGCCCCTCATAGACTTGCAATCATAGAAGCTTGAACTTTAGGCAATTTATCAAGTCCTCGTACTTAAATCAAAGATGAAACTAATCACAATTAGGGTTAGGAAATTACTTTCAAGTTCGTAAAGTTCAACCGCCTTTTTGAAAATCTACGAATTCAACCCTTCTTCAAATGAAAACAGTTCGAAAATCTATTACCTCGAAGACCACGTCCATCGCGATTGTCGCCCATTCCCATACCAACAGCTCCTTTTTGCGCCCGACCAATGTTTTTGAACATTGGAGCATTCTTCAGCATATCCGGTAGAATCATAAAGCGGACTTTCGATCCCCGAATAAACACATTATCCAAATGGTGAGTTCGCCCATCGCGAAATGTCACTGTCACATCGCTCATCTGGCAGTTCATATTATCTTCGGCCTAAATAAACACATCTTTCGCAAAATTTACCTTTCTTTTCACATATCACAAAATCGTTTCCTATCACTTCATTTTATCACCCACCAATCACCCTTACTATTTATGGCTCTGTCCCCTCCGCTTCGCATTTCGCCCAAAAGGAAGTATGCAATTAAACAGATCCCCCTTACCAGACTCTCCCTCCCCTCCCCCTTTCTTAAATACTGGCGCATAAATTATCAAACATGCGATGGATACCAACTGGAACTGACAACTTGAGATCGAACAGCCTGGTACAGCTACGCCCAGCATGCAGAAACATTTTAGTAACAATATTGGCCTCCACACTGATTATTTTGCGGTATCGGTAGCACTGAATAGGAATGTATGCGAATTGATGGACCGAAACACTCTCATTCAGATTTTAATTTTAATTTATTCACATTTTCTTTTTTATTTCCTTACATCTTACATAAACACATACCAACTAAAATTAAAATTAAAATTCCTCACCATTCTCGAATTGGCAGATGGATTGGCTAACCAAAAGTCAAGCCAATTCTGGGTCTTACTCAATTTCAGTTCCAGAATGACGAGGGATACGATCACGGCAGCTATCTAGGCAAACAAAGACGCAAAATAGGTGAGACGCGAGAGGAATTTGGAGACGATGAAAACAGGGATGAATAACCTAACGGCTTCTCGGAGCCCTATGACGGGGAACCGACGCTCGAAAAGATAGGGGAAGGATTCATGCGCTGGAAAGAAACAGAAACAGAAAAAATAAAATTAGAAATACGATGGAAAAAGCTGTGAATTTTATGTATTTTTGTTGTTCAGCGCTACTACGGTGAGCAAAAACGCATGTTGCCCGTGTGCGTGGATGTTCGTAAGCGAGTGAACTTTGTCACCCACTTTCAATTCATCAGTCAGGAAAGCTAGAAGGCTGAAATTTTCGGGACACATTTCCAGCCCATGTGTCACTCTCCCGTCTTAAAGTCATCGCCCGTACGCGCCTAAATTTTGCCTACAGATCTCCGAAAAAAAATATGCAAAATTTCTTTGACGGGATACAATTTTGTGAACCAATCAAAACAAAAAGCTGGAACTTTGCATGGATATTCTTTGCGCATTTACGAGCTAAAGATTCCAAATTCAGTTACCACGTACGTTTACACCAGGCATACGGTCACAAATTTGCAGCTGACAATGTGCTAACGCGAAAGCTAGCCGGAAAACAATAGCTGAAAATTTTTTAAAATACTTAATGTTCATACATGAAGTCTATACAAACTAAGTTCCGATTTGCACTTGTGCCACGGCTCGGGACA